AGATAGATAGATGCGCAGTAGAGAAGCAAATAAGCCCTAAACCCCTCAACCGTCTGGTTCACATCTCCACCTCTCTATATCGTCTCTAGTTGTTGTTCTATTCTTCCCATGCCGGCAGAGAAGCAATCACCGCTCGACAGACTCGGCGCCTTGCCGGACGATGTTCTGTTACACATCCTCTCTCTCCTCCCGACCACCCGCCTCTCTGTGTGCACCAGCGTCCTCTCACGAAGATGGCGGTCCCTGTGGGCCCATGTCCCCCTTTTAAGTTTCGGAAACGAGGGTTCCTTCGACCGCCGCTTGGAGGACATCGTCACCGAGGTCGTGTCGGCGCACAAAGGGCAAACGGTACACACTTTCCGACTAACAAATGATGATTGCTTCAACGGTTCTGAAATCGAGGGCTGGATTGCCACTCTCGTTTCCCGCAATGTCAGGAATATCTCTATGTACCTTTCCTATTATGATGAGACCGTATGGTTTATGATGCCCAATTGCCTGTTAATGTGTGAAACCCTAGTGGAATTGCGTATCACTGCTTATGTTGAGCTCCCGGCGGCCGGCGATGTGTGCCTGCCGGCACTTAAGAGACTTCATCTTGAAGGGGCTGAATCTTTGCCCCGCCTGATATCTGGCTGCCCAGTGCTTGAGGAGCTGAACATAATTTTCATACGGCCCAAAATTTGGAGATTTGTTCGCCAACGCTACTTAGGCTGGATCTCAATATACAACCTGATGACCATGGATTTGGTGAAAACAACTACTTTTGGGTGAAGCTACTTACTCCGGCGCTTAGGTTTTTACACATGATCGAGTTTGTTTTCGATAATATCTCTACCGGGACACTTGGTTTATTGGCAGTGGCAAATGTTTCTCTCGCTTGTGAATCTCGCATTAAGTTAGAATTTGTGGGCAAGCTGTGTAATGTGGGGAGTCTAAATTTATATGCTGGAGGGATGGAGGTAAGAGTTTGATTAATTTGTTTGTGATTTCTGGTTGTTGGCTTTCCGTTTCATGACCGTCTTTCTTTTCTTTTCTTTTTTCCTCCTCGCAGATTTCTGACTCTGCATTCTCTGCTCTGACTGGGAAGTTCCATAATTTAACCAAACTCACATTGAGTGCAGACTGCCGTTTTATCTCGTTTTTTCTTGATAATGCTGATAATCTTCAAGTCCTTACGATCAGTGTAATTGTTTGTCAGCTTTTCTTTTTGTTTATTCTTTAATCAATGGTTTTCTTCCTTTTTGTGTCTCTAATGGGAGTGAAGGGGCTTCTGACCTTTCCTTTTTTGTCTGTCTACTTCAGGGCGGTGGTAATATCAAAGAATGGAGGGAGCCCCACCAAGTTCCGACGTGTCTATCATCGCATCTCAAAACTGTGGAGATCGAGCCATTCAAGTGCACGGAGGAATGGTTATTCATAAGTTATGTTCTGAGAAATGCTGAAGTCCTGAAGTATATGAAGGTTATCAAGCTTCGTTACTCTCCTAGCAAGGATTTGGAGTTTGATGCACTCAAGAGAAGAATTTTACAGTTGCAGCCAGGTTCTAAGGAATGTGAGATTAAGTTCCTAGAGAGGGATGTGAATCATAATACCAAAGAGCTCTTTTAGTTTTAGTGATATCTATCTTGCTCTATACGCTCACCTTCTCATGCGAAGAATTGTTTACAGACTGTTTGGTTTCATTTAGAAATTGCTTTACTCTCCTCCATGCAAACTATAAACGTATAGAACTCTTTTCTTTGTTCCGAATCAGTTTTTCCTATTTTCTTTTTCATTCTATGATAGCTGGTTCCACTGTGTTCATTTGGGATGTTAGTTATGCATAAATTTAGACGCACGAAAATCTGAATTTTTTGTCAGCCCAACATCAGATATAAGAATAGTTGTTTCGCGGTTTCTTTTTGAGAAAATTACCCTGTGAACGAGATGACATTTTTAAAAGTACATAACTACGATATTAAGTTTTTAATGCCATAAAAATAAAGTAGTTTTTAATTTTTTCTTCTCTCTTCATCATCCTCTTTCTTTCTCTTTCTTTCTTTCCGTTCTTTTTCCTTCTTCTAAATCCATATCCACACCTTCAATTTCTCTTATCTTTTTCTTCTAATTCTACCATCTCTTCACCTTTCAAATTCATCCTCTTTTATAAAGAACCCTAGTGAAAGCAAAACCCCTAAATTTCATCACAAATCAATTAAATCCGATGTTATTTCCCAACGTCTCGATTGGAACCCTATTGCATCCTCAGCGCCATTGGAACCTTCGACAACGTCTCGATTGAGATCCTCTCCTTTTCCAGCCTTCGGCGCCACCCGACCCTTGAGGCTCAGAGTGTAACTCACAAGGTGCGGTTTACTAAATCTGAATCTTAATGTGTGGTTTACTGATTAGGGTTTAATAAATTTTAATTTTCCTTTTCTTTTTTTGTTGTGGAGGTTCATTGATGGATCTTTTAGATCTATCTGTTGCTTGATTTAAGATCTGAAAAATTGATGGTACAATTCCAGCGGGCCGAGGCAGAGAAATAATCCGGCGGCTTCTATGAAGATTAGTACTCTGACTGTTGATGAAAAAAGATGGGGCACCGAATTCATGAGGCGGGTGTTGATTAAAATTTTGTTTTAAAAAGATGAACACCACCATCTGATCGGTGGCGTTGTTTCATAAATAATCATGGCAATTGATTAATATTTTTGTTTATGTATAATTTGGTTATGTTTATTAATTGGTTATTTTTTAGTTTATATTCAATTTATTTTTGCTTTATTTGTAGTTTATCTATAGTTTATTTTTGGTTTATCTGCACCGACCTTGCGGATTCCACCGCTGGAATTATATTTTTACTATTTTAGTATGTTTGTTCATATATCTGATGTAAACTAAGAAGATTCAATGTTGAGTTTGTTTTAGTATGTAAATTTGTATTTTAGTGTGTAATATATTTGTATCGTAAATTTGATGTTTATCGATACACTATGGTAATGTTTTTTTTTTTTTTTTTTTTTTTTTTTCTTATTTGTAGTTTATTTTCAGTTTTATTTTGTATAAGGTGTATATCTTTTTTTTCTTAATTTAATAAAAATTAATAATAAACTTAAGATAAACTGTAAGGATAATGTAATAAATCAAACATAACCAAAAAATAATTTAAGAAAAGTTCACATAGTCAATTTTGTATAAGGATATATTGTATATTTGTTTTTTCTTAATTTAATGAAAAAATGTATAATAAACTTAAAATAAAGTGTAGGGATAATTTCATATCCTTAAAATAAACTAAAAATAATCTAAGAAAAGTTCATAGATTTAGTTTTATTTCGTATAAGGATTTATTATTATGTATTTTTTTCTTAATTTAATAAAAAATTGAAAATAAACTTAAAATAAACTGTAGGGACAATGTTTTTGGAGAAAAAAATTACTCTAAGTGGCAGATAATAAAATTATATAGAATATAAAATACTAATTGGGATTGGAGGGAGAGAGAGTGTGAAATTTCATTGGATGGTAAAATCCTAGACTTCTATGTGTATATTGGATGACTTCCATAAAGTCATACTCCCCTATTCCACAAACTGATATTTCCGTTATTGTGACATTAATTTTTCTCAAAATCCTTAACATGGAATTACTTTTCAAGTTTCGTCATTATGTTAATTTATTTTGTAAGTCTCGTAATTATGTACTTAAGCCTTTCTTTTTTTGGTAGCATTTGCGGATTATTAATTTGGACAATGCACTTTGATTCATCATGGTGGGCCTTCAATGCTCAAACTGGACTTGCTTTGAGAATAAGATGCTCTGTTTCGAGTTGTTATATGATGCATGCATGTACACAGATACACAACTTGATACTATCGGTTTAAACATTTCCTCAAGGCATCCGAGCTCGGGCTCGTGCTCGTGTTCGTGCTCTTGTAGGTTTGTGGAAGCCTTCCTTTTTTTTTTTAGTTTTCTGGATGTGATGTGGTTAGGTACTTAAGTAAAAAGAGTGAAGATTATCTGAGTTCTGCTGCTGAACTTTTGTAGTGATTTTTTCTTCACATCTTGATTTTTTTGTCTTAGTGTTTAATGTTGTCTTTTGTTTTTGGATATATGTTGGTTGGGTACATTATGGTACTTATAATGTGAACCTGATTAATGCCCCTGAATAATTACTGGTTATTTTTTTTTAAGATTGCCTTTTGGTGCTGTTAGCCTGACCAACCATTAGGAGTAATGATGAAGTTTTGATTAATGTGGTACCATGAGAATAGAGAAAGGAAGATTGTGGGATATTATTATTAAAGACGTTCTTAATACAATAAGTTATCGACGACTCCATAAGAAAATCATCTGATGACAAAGTGAAAACAAGAAAAAAATATTTGGGTCACAAAAAAAAAATATTTTGTGACCCATAATTTGAGTCGCAAAAATATGTATGGGCCGCGTCAATCAGGTTGACCTGACCCATATATATATATTTTTTTAATATTTATTTATCTTTTATTTTTTTTAAAAAAAATAAAACTATGTATATATGTTTATATGGTAAATATATATCAAGATACATATTACTAGTGCGTGGCCCGTGCAATGCACGAAAAAAAAATATTACGATTGTATTATAAATTAAATATATAAATAACATTAATCATGATTTACTCATTGTTTTTAAATTAAACTGGGTTAGACACGGCCC